TTGCACACACACTCTCTTCATCTCAATAATCAATCCAAAACAAAGAAAGTTGAATTAGAATCTTAGATAAGGTCAAAATGAGTCCCTTCTTACAATAAATATACACCATTCATTTGGTGAATTTTAAGATCTCAGCATTAACAAACTCAAGATCATTTTTTTCTTTTTTAACATTGTTCATCTAATGATAATAAAGGCATCTAAAAAAATTGGAAAAGAAAAAATCCTTCTAAGGCCTAGATCTAAGCATCTTATTAAAATGAACGGTCTATGTTAATTGAGATAAAAAATTACTTTCTAGGTTCTTTTTTCAAATTTTTCTTTTTTGTGATTGTTCATTAGAATGAAAAGATTGTATATGTTAAAATTTAGATCAAACAAATGGCTCTAACATGATTTTTGAAGATTGTTGCTTTGCATCAGCACAATTGAAATGGAGAGAACCATCTCTAAGTTGTTTTTCCCTTTTCTTAAAGAAATTTTTTTAACTCCAAATGAATGTCGACTTTATCATGTCAAAATCCCTCATTTTTTCTTCTTTATAAAATTAACACAAAGGGCAATTTTAAGATCATTTAAACATGGGTGCGGTTTCTATAAGGTTGCCACCTTAAACAAACCAATTAAGGCGCACCTTAAAATTTTATTATAACATGTAATTTTGTTGTAAAAAATTCTTAGTATTATCTTTAAATATATTTTCATATTAATTAGAAAATTTTAAATTCTAAAAATGGTAAAAATCAAGTAGATCTATAAATTTATATGAAAATCTTGAAAATGGACAGTCTAGATATAGTGTTACACGATGCACTATTTTCGAGATTCAAAAACTATTTTTTTTCATATTCATAGATCTCGATATCGAGATGATTGATTAGAGAGATTTTTCAATGTTAAAACAACATTTTCAATAGATTTTTGAGGTGCATATGTGATTCTACATTTTAAGGTTATAACCTTATATAAACTTTTCCCTTTAAAAATTATCAATTCATAAGTACCCACCAAACTAAATTTCTCTTTGTCAACTAAATTGTAGAGTTTGGTTCCTCAGGAAAAGTACCCTTTAATGAAATACTATACATCATCCTCATTATCATCAAGATAGTCTTATCCCAAATATTTGGGGTTCACTACATGAATCCTCTTCCTTTATTTTGCTCTAGTAAGGGTCATACCCTCAATGAAAACATAAGTTCCCATATCTTTATCTACTGCTTTTATTCATGTCCTTTAGCGTTTTTTCCTTGCCTTTTTAGAGCCTTCCACTTGAATTAAATCGCACCTCCTCGCTGGTGTTCTAATGGGTTTGTGCTGCACATGGCCGGCCCACCTAAGTCTACTTTCCCTCATCTTGTTATTGGAGCTACCCCTAAGTTCCCTCAAATACTCTATCCTTTCTTGTCTTAGCACCCATCTATCTCAGTATTCTCATCTCAGCTACACTCATCTTATGAGTATATTGTTTCTTGACTGCCTAACATTTTTTTCAAAAAAAACAAAGTCGGTCTTATAGTTGTCATATGGAACTGTCCTTTTAGCTTCATTGGTATGTGGTGATCACATAAAACTCCATTTCCACATTATTACTTCAGCCATCTAGCTCTAATTATAGGTACAACATCTTCCGTTATCTCTCTATTTTCTTAGATTATCAACCTAAGACATCGAAAATACTCTTTTAGGTATTTATTGGCCATCAAACTTTATTGCTTCCTCATTTCTACTGCTATTATTACAAAATTTACATTCCATATATTATATCTTAGTTCGGCTAATATTAATACCTTTAGATTGTAGAGCGTCCCTCACTTTGCATTGATGTTACTTCTAGCCTCATTGATCAAAATTATGTCATCCACGAAGAACATCCACCATGGTACCTCATCTTGTAAATGCCCAGATAATATTGTCCCCCACTAAACCGCAAATCAAGCAGCACAGCCACTAGCCCCTAGTTAGGAGGAAGTGCGTAAGCAAGCATGCCTTGGCCTCTTGGTAGGAGGTTCGTTGTGCCCCTCCTTTCCGGTCCGGCTGCGGTACGGCCGAAGTGTTTTGGCTAGATATTTCAAAAATTGGATTAGTGCAGTAGAATGTTCACCTTGTATATCCATGTCGAATTGCTGGATCGATGATCCAAATCAGTCTAGAATTTTTCAAACCATTTGAACCAGTGATCCAAAAATAATTAAAATGAAAAAGAAAAATAAGATTGAAATGAGGAAATTATAGGTTGAGGATTTGAGGGGAAGTCTATTATAGATTTCTCCCACTCAAGAGTGAAGAGTGTATAGGGATAATAAAGATATAGTTCAAACGTGAAGAGAGACGTGCCGAGGAAGTCACATAAGTAGAAAAAGTGCGAGCGTACGAATCGGGAAGTGGGTTTAAACAGTATCAACGGGCTTTAATCGCGTTGTCTCAAGTTCCATTTGGTCAGAATGGGCCTAGAGTACTTGCGGTAGTACCACCTATGCTTCAGATACGGTAAAGGCTTTTTATTCTCACTCTGTTAAAGGCTTTTATTCTCACCTAACACTCTAAAAACAAGAGTAAAAATAGTGCAGGGATAATAAATAGGGTGTTGTTTATATAAGGTACCAACTTTAAATAATTCAAGTTAGGCGTACCTCCAAAGCTTATCAAATGATGTATTTTTAGTGTCGAAATATTAATGATATATTTTTAGTGTCAAAATCTTAACGATGACTAGAAAAAATACTTCACATTTAATTATGAAATTTTAAACTTAAAAAAGGTACTGATCAAGATATATAGATACATGAGAATCTTGAGAATAAACAGTTTTTATAATGTATTCCAAGACATATCATTTTTCGAATTTTAAATTATTTTTTTTCACATCTGTACATTTCAGGTTTTTCAACATTAAAACAATTTTTTTTTATGAACTTTTTAGACGTATTTTTTTTATAAGCGTAAGGAGACTATAGGGATCATCTTATTACAACTAATACATTCTGGATAATATTATTTTGTTAGTTATTGTTATATATAAAATTGGAAGTATTTACAAAATGCCTATAGGTAAATTCTACAGTATTTCACGTACACCTCATCCCCATCCAAAATTCATCACACGGTCACAGTTGTCCGGTAGTATTTAAATTTTTATAATTATTGTACTAACCAGATTTATCTAAAATTTAGAGCATGTGTACATATGACCAAGTCATGCGAAAATAAAATATTTAAAAAATAATAGTCATAAAACAAAATGATGAAATTACCCCTGAAAATTTATAGGGGTATTTTGTGTAATTTTTGTCATTCAAATTATTTGTTTTATATTTTTTTTATGTGTAACTCATTAAGGCGCACACACTTACAAAATTTTAGATCATTATGAATTGTAAAAAAAATATTAAAATTCAAACATTATCAGACATATGTGACTATATGATCAACTTTGAACAATGATAAAGCTGTAGGTGAAGTACTGTAGAACTTTACCTATAAGCGTTTTATAGTGTTTTCCTTTAAGTTTATTAAACTTTTTTGTATATTTTTAGCTATTCTAGCTTAAAATATGTGAGTTTCAGCAAAGAATAATAATCTTATGTGACCCTCCTACACCCATGTGAGTAGGACCCCAAATGATCACCATCAAATTTGGCACAGATCTATAGAAAAGTCAACTCTTACACCCATCTGATAACTTTTCTGGAGATCTATGCCAAATTTAATGGTGATCCTTTGATGTCCTACTCACATGGGTGTGGGAGGGTCTCATAGTGTCAATTCTCTTCAACAAATTACATTGAATAAATTAAAAATAATTTTCAAAATAATAAAGTCATATGTAAAATTGCCTATAAGTATCTAAAATAACTTTATAATGGATAATGCCAAACAACAAACAACTCATTATAGAAAATTTTATTTCAATTGTAAATTATTAGTTATAGTGAGTGCTGTTGGATATGGTGATTATCCAAAATCACCTAACACCAGGAAATCTCATATTATGTGGGATTGTGATTGATATTAGAAATTTTTTTATAGGAAATAGAAATAAAAAATGATTAAGACTCTGGGATATATCTTCTTGATATACATGTAAAGTTTCCTATCTGGTGTGGACTCTTAACCTTATTATATATGGGATAAAAGTACAGAGAATTTATGTGCCTTATTTGGGTTACCATATGGAAAATGTGACTTCCTCTAGAGAGAGAGGCAGGAACCTCCTATGCATGAGAGGCAAGGCCTTCCTTTAGAGAGAAGAGAGCTTCCTATAGAGAGAAACCTCTCCATGTGTCTCCTATAGGCTGATTTCTTGTAGATAGGCGGTTCCCCTGAAGATTTTGGGTGGTTTCTCATTTTAGTGAGAGAAAGTCTTAGTTGCTTTCAAGTGCCTCTTCCTAGACAGTGGTTTAGCTGTGGATTAGAGATGAAAGATCGGTGGGTCATTTCAATCGGGAAAGCGGATTTAAAGGGTTTGCTCGACTAGGTTTTATTGAGGATTAGAGAGGTAACTCTCTGTCTCAAAATCTGCAATGTAACTTTCATTAGTATAGTGGATTTCAGTTTGCCATCCCTGTGGATGTAGCCCTTTTGGAGTGAACCACATAAATCTTTGTGTTTTTGTGGTGTGTGTGCTTCATATTTTATTTATCATATAATGGCTCGTGCTCTCTCCTATTTTGTTTCTAGCTGGATAAATACACAAATCTGATGGGATCTAAGTTTTGGGATTGATGTTTCCACATCTAAGAGTGTTCTTGAATTCTAACAAGTACATCTATACGTGCCCTAAAAAATACAACGGTAGCTTTTTATTTCTACGTCATAGTACAATATGCTTCTTTCAATGTTGCTTTTGAATGCCATATTACAAAAATTGAATAGCAATGGAGGGTGAAACAGCAAAATTCGGCGCCATAACATCTACTTAAAAAGTAAGGCTGTCTTTGTACGTCGTAGTTTAGGTACAATTATATAATTTATCCCTGCTTCATCACAATAAGGCTATTGCTGTAACATCCCAGTAAAATAAATTTTCACTATATTAGGTTTCCCATTCTTGTTATGCTAAAAAATTTCACTATAAATTGCACGTAAACTGACAGTATATTTAGACATACAAATATTGACCAAAACACATGTTATTTACCTAAAAATAGCTCTGAACTTAGTAAGTCAAATGATGAGGAATTATTAAGGAATTGGTAATGGATATGTAACATAGAACCATTAAGTTGATAATAATGTTTTATTATTCTAATTATGATATACATTAGAACTTATTGTCAGCATTGTTGCCCATAAATTTTTTAACATATTTAGGCTTTTTGTTGTTAATATAGTTACCAGTGGCAAAAAATGTAAATCATAATAAATACTATACTAATTAAATATATTAAAATGTCATAATTATCCAAACAATCCTTGATAAAACTGGTTAATGATAATTTTCTCTAACACACCTACTTAGCCATTGTTGGATTTGGTGCTATCCAAAATCACCCACATAATAAAATCCCATTTTATAAGGAATTGAGATTGATATTGATAAGTTTCCTAATAGAATAAAAATCCAAAAAAGATTAGGAGTCTTGGATATATCTCTTGATCTTTTGAGATATATATAAGAATTATATAAAGTTTCCTATTTATTCTTAATCTTATATATATGGGATGAAAGTGCAAAGAATTTGTGTATCCTATTTAGGATATCATATGGGAATGGTGGTTCCTCTAAAGAGAGAGGGGGTAGAGCCTCATGTGCATAAGATGCAAGGTCCTCTTAGAGAAGAGAGCTACCAATGAAGAGAAACATTGATGGTGCCTCCTGAAGATTCTTGCAGAGAGAGATGTTGGTTGGTTGTAGAGAAGCAGTTCCCATAAAGATTTTGGGTTGTTTCTATTTTTAGTTATCGAAAGTCAGTTTCTCGTTACTTTCGCGTCTCTATCTAGTGCTATCGGTAATAGTTGTCTGAAGTAAGAAGAAGGAAGGGAGAGTGGTTTAAAAGGATATGCTCGACTGTGTTTTGTCGAGGTTTATTCCAAAATCTTTGATGTAACTTTCATCGGTATAATGGATTGTAGCCCTTATGCGGTGAACCATGTAAAACTTGTGTTCTTGTGGTTATGTGTTTCATATTTTATTTTTTGTACTTTACTTTTCAAAAATTACCCATTGGGTTTAGAGCTTCCGCACATAACAAGTTTTATCATAGCCTGGTTTGGGGCTTTCAGAATGGCAATAAAAGTTTCGAATGCAAAGTTCGAAGTGGAAAATTTTGATGGTAAATTCTATTTTTCAGCAAGAATGATGAATAAATTTATTTGGCAAAAGATGAAAAATATATAAAGTTATCCAATGGATGTTGGCATGGTTAACATGTGATTTTGATATCGAGGTGGAGATTGTTGGATTGGGTGCTATCCAAAATCACCGACATAATAAAATCTCATATTATGTAGAATAGAAATAGAAATCCAAAAAGGATTGGGACTCTTGGATATATCTCTTGGTCTTTTGATATATAAGTAAGATTTAAATGAAGTTTTTTATTTATTCATAATCTTATATATATGGGATGAAAGTGCAGAGAATTTATGTACCGTATTTGGGTTGGGTCACCATATGGGAATGGTAGTTCCTGTAGAGAGAGAGGGGGGCAGAGCCTCCTGTGCATAAGATGCAAGGTCCTCTTAAACAAGAGAGTTTCCTATTAAGATAAACATTGTTGATACCTCCTGAAGACTCCTACGTAGTGAGATACTTCCTGAAGACTCCTGCAGAGTGAGAGGGTGTTTTCATGTAGAGAAGCGATTCTCATGGAGATTTTGGGTTGTTTCTCCTTTTAATTAGAGAAAGTAAGTTTCTCGTTGCTTTCGCATATCTATCTTGTGTTGTTGGTAATGAAATAGTAATTTAAAAGGGTTTGCTCGACTATGCTTTTGTCGAGGTTTGTTCCAAAATCTTTGATATAACTTTCATTTCAATTTGCCGTACCTGTGGTTGTAGAATGGGGTTCCATTTTATCACTTATTCATAAATAGTAACATGCCAAACTAATCATGTGCAAAGAGTTCCATTTTATCATTTGTTCAAGAATAATAACGTGCCAAACCAATCACGTAAAAAAATGATCCAAATTTACTAGAGCAATTGATAGAAAGATATGTCTAAAAATGGCCTTTAAAAGTAATGTTTTTTGACTCAAGTCCACACAACATAGCGGACTTACCCGGACTCACCTCCTTGGCGAATAGAGTTACTATGACGGTCCCCATATAACTCAAGGTATATAAGAAAAATTGAAAGAATATTTACAAAATACATAGCAAATGAAATTGATATGTAAAATTTTTATTTGTGGTTTGGACTTTTTGGTAAAGATTAGTGAGTTTTTCTAACATATACCCTACTTTTATATTTTCCTCTTTTTGTAGATTTCTTTAAAAAATGTCGGAAACTATAAATTAATTTTTTAATCCATATTTTGATATATATATTTTTAAGATTATTTGGATTTTTTTAATGTATATTTTATATAGTTTTAAGATTATTTGTATTGTTAGGTTCTTTTTTGGTGTTATACGAATATTATTTTAATTTTATTTTAATTTTTTTTTTTTAAGTTTTTTGGGCGAAGGCCGAATGGCTGGCTCTAGGCAACTCTGCAAAACACTATTCAAGAGCATAATTCATTTAATTATTATAGTAAGAGGTTCCGAGAATGCTGATATGTTCTTTTTCCTTTCTTTCCTTTTTTTTCTTTTTTTTTTGCAAAGTACGTAGTTCTGGCTCCGTGGGTGCTGGGAAGCTGCTATAGCTTCTTCCCGGGGGGAGAGAAGAACAGGGATTTATCCAATTTTCTCATACTTCCACTCATGTTATCCAGACTGGCTCATAACCAGTTATGGATCTCTCTCTCCCGCTTCCAAACTGCGAGGAGCAAACATATAATACTCAGCAAGGGCCTTGAGTTTCAGCAGGTTGACAGAGAAAGAAACTGGTATGCAAACATTACTCAATATCATGCTTTTAGTATCTGTTTATTTGGAGACTAGCCATGTCCTTTTTTTTTCTTTCCCCCATTTTTTGACTCCATGTTTTTAGTGCAATATAGACTCGAGTGCTGTATGATTTGTGTGTTAGCACACCAAGGACATGGTATCTATTTTTGATATTTTAAAAACCTGGATGTTTCTTCTTGACATTTCGGATTTGAAATCTCACATTGAAAGCAATTAATGGCGCCTAAAACCCCATCTCAATTTTCCTTTAATTGGTGTACGTACTTGAGGGCTTAATTTTGATGTTGATAGTTTTTACACTTATTTAAATGTCAAATATTGAATATATTGATTGCTTTATCATTTGAATGATGGGTGCGGTTTGTATAGAGCCGAGGCTCTAAACAATCAAATTAGAGCCCACTTTCAAATACTGTTTAGAAATATAGTTTCAATATTGGAAACTTTTGTTATAGCCTTAAATTATATTTTCATCTTTAGTTATAAACTTTAAAGCTTCAAAAATAATGTAGATCGAGTAGATCTTTGAAAACTTAAAAATTGACCGTCCAAAAATGCGTTATAAGAGCATAAATTATAAACTCGAAATCCAAAATAATCATCATGTGATTTTAAAGTAACATTTCCGCCGCGAACTTTTTTAACCAGGGAATACAATATATACACTCTTGAGATTTATATTTCTACGTCATATCTTTTTCTATTTCCTTTTAGGTTGCTAAGGTGGACAGGTGCCTTTCTCGTGGTCTCCTAGGTCCAAATTGTTAATTTGTTCAGATGAGTAGAACACCTAAAGTGGATTTTATGACTCAAAATTTTAAAATCTCCTTTGTTAAGAGAACTGATTTGGACCTCATAAAACCTGCAATATGAGCACGCATAAAATGGACACAGCTGGCTTCTACGTCCGCAGTGGACACAAAAGGTTCACAGGCACCTTTAATGTTTCAGATTGAACCATCCTCATCCAAGAGCTGAAAATAAATTTGATTTTAATTTTTTATTTAAAATGCTATTATTCTGAAATTTGAGTTTTACCTTAATTTTTATAATTAAAATTAAATAAAAAAGTAATAACTATTTTGTATAAAAAATATTAATCAAAATAAATTTAGGAGTATTTTAGTCATTTTTATTTAACATACTTTTGTAAAAGTAAACCTACACCTTAAGTTTTTTAAAAATTAAACCGACAACTTAAAAATCAAATTAATATTTTCTTTCATAAAATAAAAGTCAAATATTAAATCAATTATTGGCCATTAGATATAGGCTTGTGAAATCTTAAAAGGGTGCTTATGCACGCTTCCACCCCGTCGACACATCATGTGCATGTGATATTTCTCCAAATGGACATTCCACGGTCAAACTTGGAGTGGCATTTGATTTATAGAAATTTCATGATATCAATTTTATATTAAAAAAATGACATTAAAGATGTTTTTTGAGTTTTGGGTCAATCAAACACTCTCTCATGGTGTTTTGTGTGCAGGACCAAATATATAAGGTGTGGTCCCACGGGAACGCCAGATAAAACAATTCCATTTTGCAAGACTCTAAATCTGTTGAGGGCTACTAATTTATTTGTTTTGGAATTTGGCAGGGATGACCAGATTATATTCAATGGCATATTGTTCTATTTGGGGAGCTTATATTTTCCAGGGGGATCCAACCTGCCCCTGTGGAACATCAAAGGAGTGATCATAACCATTATTTGCCACATTGGGCCTGTTGAGTTCTTATATTATTGGGCACACAGGGCACTTCACCACCACTTCCTTTATTCTCGTTATCACTCCCATCACCATTCCTCCGTGGTCACCGAGCCCATCACATGTAAGTTCTCTCTCTCTCTCTCTCTCTCTCTCCAAAATCACCTCACTCAATTTGGTAGAGCCCTTCGACTTCCACTACCTTGCGACAAAGAATGAAATAGCCGGTATGTGCCTAAACAATAATAACCGTATGTCCGAAAAGACTCCGGAAAGTTATGTAACATTCGTACAGTGCGCTCCCTTAGGAGCATGAATTTGGCACTCGCATGAATGCATATAGACTAATGCTTGATGTTTGTTTGAGCAGCGGTGGTGCATCCCTTCGCAGAACATATCTTATACTCCTTCCTGTTTGCAATAGCACTTTTAACAACGCTCTACACAAGGACCGCCTCTATTATTTCCTTGGTTGCCTATATTACATATATCGATTTCATGAATAATATGGGGCATTGCAACTACGAGTTCATCCCAAAGTGCCTCTTTCAACATTTTCCCTTCCTCAACTACATCATGTATACTCCATCGTAAGTTCTATACCTCTTAAAACAAATTTATGAGTTTGAGGTAATGGTGCTCAAATAAATATTAGACAGGTCATTTTCTTAAAAGGAGTATGGATACCAACGGGCCAGGCCGCCGGCACTAAAAAACTTGGGCATAGGCCACAAAATATAGCATGAGGGCTGGGCTATGGCCAATATATGGACGGCCCAGTCAGCCCTTATCTCTTTACTGATTGAACCTGGTCTGGCCCTTAGGGGAACAGGGCCGAGCTAGGTCCAGGGCTAGCACCGCCTTGGCCCGGCTGGTTACTAGCCCTGGAAACGAGTTAATCACCTTGTCCTTTTCTAATGAATCATTAATACTTCAAGGGCAAAATTTTAGACTCTAATAGTTTACTTGTCTAAATTAATTTTGGCTCAAAGGGATTTTTTTTTTTTGGGGTCATTTTTTTTGTAACGAAGAGGCGTAATCCTCACTTTGTAATTCAAACTTTTGTTATTGTTCTTGGGAAATAATGAAGTGTTGTATTCCCAATAAAATTGCAAAATTTTATGCTCCAAATTTCTTTGTTCCATTTCACGTTGATGCTCAGCAAATCCTTGAAAAGTATACAGTAAGATCGTTTATTCATTCTAAAAGAAGATTATTATCATCCGGAGACATTAGATCTGGAATAAGGAGGCTGGGGGTGTGCAAATGATAGACTTGAAAGTCGAGGAAAAAAATTTTCATGAGCTCTGTGCCATACACAGCCTAATTTCAGTTCTAATGGCAGTAGATGATTGTGACCTTGTAGCAAAAGTGAACAGCCCTATAATATACTATCCCTAGAAACAATATGAGTCAATTGATTGGAACGATATACTTTCTACACAATCTTAATTGTATTTCTTTACTTAAAAATAATAATTTCTTCATTAGGTCTTTGTTTTTCATATTGGATCTAACCCTTCATTTTAGTTACAAGAGGAGCTCTCTTTATTCATATATAACAGGTTCCATTCACTTCATCACTCAAGAGTCCACACCAACTTTTCTCTCTTCATGCCAATATATGATTACATATACAATACAGTTGACAAGTCTACAGATGCGGTATATGAGAGTGCTATAGAGGGGAGAGAGGAGGCCATAGATGTTGTCCATCTCACTCATCCAACTACCCTTCACTCCATCTACCAAATGCGCCTAGGATTTGCATGTTTGGCTGCCCAACCCCAAGATCGCAAATGGTATCTATGGTTACTTTGGCCAATCACCGTTGGATTAATGTCACTAATGTGGATTTTCGATCGTACGTTCACCGTGGAGAAGAACAGATTGGAGAAACTCAACACTCAAACATGGGCAATTCCCAGGTTTACCTTCCAGGTGATGCATCTTCTTTATGAGTTCTTCTATGCTAACAATATAATGATAAAAGGTATGTTTCAAACAATTAATTGACTTTCTTTGTAGTCTAGGAAAACTACTGTAATATGATGGGGAAAACATCGATTTCTGCTGCACAATATGTAACAAAAAAGCTCAAAAAGTTGTGCAGTTCGTGAACACTTGAAAATGAACCATCTAGGTAATATGTTACGAGATACACTATTCTTACAATATAAAATCTATTTTTTTTCATATCCATGGTTATCGATGCAAAATTATCGATTTGAGGGGTTTCTATCATCATAACAACCTTCTTAGGCAGGATTTTGAAGTGCGGCTTTACATATTTTTTTTTTTAAAATAAGGACTAGGACTTATATAATCCTATACCTATTTAATAGGAGACAATTGCAAGCCATTGAAAAGAAACTAATTGATTGACAAAGATTTTCCATCGTAATCCGTTCGAATATTTATTCTCATATTACTTGAGCATTGCAAAAGCATTTCCTGTCCATTTCACACAATGAAAGGTGATATTACTATAAAACATCATATATATGTTAGTCTCAACTAATGGAACGGCTGTTAACTTTCAATTGTGTTTTGACAAGCAGTATTCCTTGAAATCACAACATGAAGCAATCAACAAATTGATAGAGGATGCCATAATTGAGGCAGAAAAAAGGGGTGTGAAAGTGCTAAGTCTAGGGCTTCTAAATCAAGTGAGGTCCTTCTTGTTTATCGCATATTACATTGAATATGGTAATGGAAAAAACATATGGTGGAAGAAGAGATCTCTCTAACTCATGTCATTGATTGAAACACAGGATGAAACTCTGAATGCAAATGGGGAGCTCTATTTTGAGAAGCTCAAGGGTCTAAAAATTAAGCTAGTGGATGGATGCACACTTGCTGCTGCATGCGTACTAAACTCAATTCCTCCAAACACAAGTGAAGTCTTAATCCAAGGTCCCCTTTCAAAGACAGGCTATGCCGTTGCCATGGCCTTGTGCAGAAGAGGCACAAAGGTTTCAATTTTTCTCACTTAATCTTTAATCTTGTATGTATTAAATTCATAGGTTCGAGTTAAATCCTGTGTGTAAGTCCATTTTTCTCTCCCATAAAGTCTTATGCATTCGTTGTTTTTTGTTTTTTGTTTTTCTCATAATTTACAAACTTAGCAGATTTTGCTTATAATGGTGGAATATAGGTTATTACTGAGTGCCCTGATCATCTTGAAAAATTGAGAATGCAAATCTCCATACAACATCAAGCTAATCTTATTCATGCTCCCGGATGTCATTGCAAGGTATCGACCAAAACATTGTTTGCTACCTTTTGATATATACATCTCATTGTTATTGTTGTTGTTGTTGTGCTTGCTACCTTTTGATATATACATCTAACTGTTGTTGTTGTTATTATTATTATTATTTTCTTCTTATTATTATTTTATAATTATTATTTTCTTATTATTATTATTTTATTATTATTATTTTCTTGTGACAGAATTCTTGATCTTTCGTGCTCCTTCATTTAGGAGACAATAAATCTTGGTGCATAATTTTTGTTCCATAAAAACTCAAGAAAAGAATTTCCTATTTTATTTAGTTATTTATTTACGCATGGCTGAGCCCCTGTCTTGTGGGGGCCAGGGACCGTAAAGGGTTCACTTCCTTACCTTCAAGAATTTACTTATTTTCTTTTCTAGATTCCGGAAATGGAGACAAAAATTATGTTCCAATATTAAAAGAAGCAGCTAGATTCCTTGGTTAAACCAAAAATTTTAACTCAAGTTTGGTAAAATTCAAACGAAAGGAACTAAATGAAAATTCTATTGCTTCTTTCATTCCACTTGTCTATGAATACTTTCGCAACATGTTTGTGTCGAAATAGGGCCTAAACATGAATAGCACGAGCACATGTGAACTTGTTTTAACTTTTAACCATATGATAGAACAACACTATTATACTTACACCTAAGAGGGTGGTCCAAACTCGAACATCGCTCGACACCCATATTTTTGTAACTTCACCAAATTATAGAGCCAAAATTTTCATATTAGAAAGGTTTTGTTAGGGTATTATGACGAATAGTTTTTTATTGCACTGAATACTTTTGGACACCTTGTATTTTTTTTTTTGTACCATAAAACTTTTCAAAAGCGCATTTTTCATCATTAAGATGCGTAGAAATGGTATTTTATTAGTTGTTAAAAATAAATAATTGTTCCATGCGGGTGGTGTCACACCTCATATAGATGATATAATTCGGCAATATAATTAATAAATATTTTTCTTATCAAAAATTCTATTTTACTCATGATTAATTATCTAATATACCCCTAGACAAAAAAGCTATTAACTATGAGGTAAGGGTATTAAGTGCAAAGAAAATATTGAGTATAGTAAGAATATACTGATATATAGCAGTACACTGACAAAAGCCTTAATAGTAGTTCTTCTTAAATACAGAGCCAAATTGAGCACAGCTTATGAAGATTAATGTTTTTGCAGGTATGGTTAGTGGGAGATAGAATGAATAATGAGAAAAAGGCCCTCAGGGGTACAATCTTTATTCCTTTCTCACAGTTCCCTCTCAAGATAATGCGCAAGGACTGCATTTATTTGTCCACCCCAGCCATGATAGTACCATCCAACTTGGAGAACATGCACGCTTGTGAGGTAACAATTCAAATTTTTCACCCCAATTTTATCTCCGATTGAGTAGTTTTCGACGTCAATACCACCATTAATCGACTCCTTTCTTCGTATCCCCTTTACAACCGCCTAAAGTTCCGACCGTTCCTTTGGAGAATATACCCTATGAGACCTAGATTGACACCTTAGAGTATCCCACCAAACCCTTGAAACTTGTCCAAATCATCCAAAGACCTTAACCATCTTAAATTAGATGGTAAGAACACTCATGGTCCAAGAAAAATCAAATCCGAAATTCTGATTGAAAGATATGGGCCAAAATATTATTAAAAAAAGGCCATATAATGATTAATCTTTCTCATGTTGTCCATATATGCGGTTTCAACACTTTATATCTTTCAAAAGTTTTCCATTTGATTTCATTAAATAAAGGAAATATACACAGCAAGCTTATGTACTTTTAGTACAAGGAGGTCACAAGAAACCAAGTAGCTATCAATGCTCTTAGTTTTGAACCAAAATAGTCGATCAGTACCTAGTTGACGATCTTCAAAATAAGCTCTCTAAATCTATATCACTTGACTGGTTGTGATTAATCTGTACTTTTCAAACCACTCTCTTTGAGCGCTGACCATCATTTACACATTCACATCTCAATTCCATACAATCCCCCCACCACCACTCCAACCACAACCAAAAATCTTGTGGTTTAAGGACGCAAATTTTGCATTTAAACATAGTAAAGTTTTGGTGTGTTGCCAAACCCATCATAAGACATTACATTTGTAGCACAACTTACATTTAATTTAGAATGCTAGACCACTATTGGATTTGGTGCATGTAAGGAAATCTCATATTTTGTGGTATTGATTGATATATTCTCATACTATGTGGGATTGAGATATTCCTATATTTTATGGGATTGAGATTTATATTGATAAGTTTCCTAAAGGAAATATAATCCGAAAAGATTAGGACTCTTGGATTTATCTCATGGTATTGAGATATCTGTAACATAAATAGAAAATTTCCTATTTACTATGGACTCCAAATATTATATAGATGGGATGAAAGTGCAGAGAATTTATGTGCCCTATTTGGGTCACCATATGAGAATGGTGGTTCCTCTGCAGAGAGAGAGGGAACTAGAGCCTCCTGTGCATAAGATGCAATTTCCTCTTAGAGAGAAGAAAGCTTCATTTAGATATTGCGATGGTGCCTCTTTTAGACTTCCGAAGATTGAGAGGTTTGTTTGTTTCTTGTAGAGAAGCGGTTCCCATAGAAAAAGTCAGTTTCCCGTTGTTCTCGCGTCTCTATCTTGTGTTGCTGGTAATGGTTGCCAGAAGTAAAGAGAAGGAAGAGATAGTGATTTAAAAATGTTTGCTCGACTTGGGTTTTTTACCGAGGTTTGTTCCAAAATCTCATTTCGTACAGTGGATTGCAGTTTGCCATGCCCATGGATGTAGCCCTTCTCGTACTTTATTTGTCAAAAAATCAACCTGTCGGATTTAGAGCTTCCGCGCACTACAATCACTTGGATTATCTATTTTAATATATCAATTTGTACTCATTTTCAAAAAAAATTCACATTAGTGAAATTTCCTTGTCATTTCTTATGGTCTGTGTATATGTAATGCAGAATTGGCTTCCAAGGAGGGTGATGAGTGCATGGCGAGTTGGTGGGATTTTGAACGCCTTGGAAGGATGGGCGACACACGAATGTGGGGACACAATGCTTGATCCAGAAAAAGTTTGGTCCTCTGCTCTAAATAGAGGTTTCCTGCCATTTGACAGCGACCATAATTCACAACCTTAATAGGGGCCTTTTGTGCCATAAAGTAAAAGTAGGTTTGTTCAAACTTCTGCTGCTTTGTGGAGAAACATCTTGAGTTTGAGAGATAGTGTTAGTGTATGGATATCTCTTATCATCTACTTCATAAGTATTCTACAATAATGGAAAGAACCTCAAAACTTAAGTATAATATGAGAAGCAATTAGTGAGCATTACATTGCTAATTTTATTTTTTATCCCTTATTAGTTAACAAATGTTTTTACGGATTGATTTTTGTACACCTTCTTTTCTTTTCTTTTCCTTTTTTTTTTCTTTTAAATTATATTAGAAAAACTTGTCTCCTGGTGCTTATTGCCATTGTTTTAGTTCAAAATACATAGAAAGTTTTTCATTATCGTAATGAGCAATGATAATTTGTTCGTTGGTTTGTAAACAATAAAAAAGAAATTGTTACATTTAGGTTCATGAATAGTTGTTACATTTAGAGTCATGAATACTTTCAACTAGGGTGTGCCAGATATTTGAAAATGCTCGCGAGGGAAAGATTCTTTGACTTTGAGCATAGACAATGGTGATAGGAAAGAATGCTCATTGTCGCCCGTTCTTATGAATTAGTGGCAATGGGACAATAACGGCCTACTGCTAATTAGTTACAAACGTATATGTTTGGGTTGTTACAAATAAGATACAATGGGATATTATTGGGCTATTTATAAAATTATGGGAATCTTTTCCATCTTACCCTTTATACCCCGGCAAGCTGAGCAGGGGCAGCTGTGCTCAGCTTGGCACACAACAGAACAAATCGAGCAGTCCTTCGTAAAAATATTAGGGCATGTTTTCAATCTTCTTCTTCACATATCTACAAGGGGTATACCATGCCCCATTAGAGCTATTCACCCCTTTTATCTCCATCACCCCTTTTTTCTCCATGACTGTGAACGAAGGATTACTACCTTTTAAAAGACCTCAGGGAAGAGGTAACGCAGAGATAAATCCCCTAACTATTTGTCATACCAAAATAACTTATTTTCTCCATTTCCCACCATCGTGTATCGTGTGATGTTGTGGAAGGTAAATAGGCCTGCAATAGTCGATCCACTTCCAACCTGTAGACAAAGATGACCTATTACTTGGGCATTTGATTAAACCATTTGTCTTATAAATACCATATTTTTCTTTAAGATCAAGTCACCAGAAAGACCGGTTATTTCATGATATCTCCACCACCATTTTATGAGAAGGCTGGAATTCATGATTTTGATCTTCCTTACCCCTAGTCCTCCTTCTTTTTATAATAGCACAACATTGATCCCATTTGATAAATGTAACTTCCTTTAATTGTCATAGCCTCCCTCGTAAGAATGTTCTCATGATACCCTCCAACCCCCTCGCAACCTGTCTAGTCATGCTAAACAAAGCTATATAAACAATTGAGTTGCAGAAGGTGGACTTAATTAACTTCACTCTCACTATAGGTAAAGGCACGTTGAATTCCACAAGTCTAATTTCTTAATAAATATCTTGATAGTTAGATCGCAAATAGAGTGAGAAAGATGACCATCCATTAATGGAATTCCCAGATATTTACAAGGCAAGTTCTCCACTTCACAACCTAAGACCCTCGCCAAATGTTTTACCAAGTTTTCTGCACACCCCCCTATTCCAACCATGTTTTCTGCGCACCCCCCTATTCCAATCAAATAGGTCTTTGAAAAATTAACCTCAAGACCCGTGACCAACTCCATGTATTTCAGAAAAATCCATAGATTTTTTATTTCCCCCTCTTTTGTATTACAAAAGATAATGGTGACGTCTAGATATTCCAAGTGTGACACCATTAAGCCATTGTAACAATCTGAAATCCATAATAGTCCTCAGTCCACCACATATCTAAACATAACGCTAAAACTTCCAACTACAGTAGTGTAAGCAAAAGTTGATAATGGGTCTCATTGCCTTAATCCTCTCAAAGCTTTAAAGGAACCAGAGGCTTTCCCATTAATCAAAATAGAGAAGTGAATAGAAGAGAGACAATCCAAAATCCATAATCTCCACCTTCGATTGGAGGCCCATTCAGACCATAATTTTGTAAAACACCTGCCAATCAACTTTGTCAAATGCCTTCTCTATGTCCAGTTTGCAAATGAGATCTGGCTTGCGCTCTTTAGTTCTAGAATAGATACATTCTTGCGCAACTAGGATACTATCCATAATTTTTCTATCTTTAAGGAATATTGATTGAGGGCCTTCTATAACTATATGAAGCACCTATCATAGTCTGATGGCTAATACTACTTTCATTAATTTATATTAACTACCCAGAAAACTAATAGGTATGATATCGTTAACTTGTTCAATCACTGTTTTCTTGAAAACAAAAGCAATGGAGGTAGAATTTATGGCCAAAGTAATCTTCCCTATAGCATTGAAAATCCTCCAATAGTACAAACAAATATTCTTTTAGGACATCCCAGAAGTTGTGAAAAAATGCCAATGGAAAACCATATGCCTCCGGTGCCTTATCTTTACTCAGACCTAAAATTGCATCCTTATTATCTTGCATCTCAAATCTTCTTTCCAACCATATAGCAGATTCCTCCAGTTATTTGGCAAAATGCACCAAATTGATGGAAAAAGGCTTCCTTCTCGAATATCTTTTTATATATATATATTTCATAAAAGTTGTCTTCTTCTTGTTTAATAACAAGAATGATTCTCAATGTGAATTTAAATTGGATTTCCAAGTTTAATAAATAGAAAAAGATTTGGTTTGTGCAACGCGGAATAGAACAATATCTGCTCTACCCCATTTGAACCCATTTTCTCTTGGTCCCTGTTAAAATATTGATAAAAGTTTTGGGAAGAAATTGCAGACGATAAATTTTTAAAGAGAAAATGCATGTAACCCTAATTCACATGAGCAATACACTCAAACCCTAATTCTGTTTGGAAACTGAATTAAAGGTCTTCTTACAAAAGGGAATGATGCATGTCCATTGAAAATAAAGAAGGACCAGATCAGTTCTGGCAATTTTCATCGGCTAATTCATCAAACCCCTTACCCTTACTAAGAGACCTAGAATTAAAAAGTCAACGCATGACTCTTATAACCTGGCTGTGGGGCCTTGGGCCTATAGGATCAGACTACCCAGACTAAGGGCTGGGTGGGACCTGCTCGTTGACCGCACATGGATTATTGGACCTGGCCTAATCCTTGGGCCTTAGATCTTGGATTTTTTGTAGCAGGGGCAATGGGTCGGGTCGAGTTTGGGTCCTGCCTAGAAAACAATTATGAAAAACAATTATGCCATCAAAATCCAGACCCAGACCAGATTGGACCCACCCAAAAATAAAAAATACATATATTGAAATGTCATGTTATATATATATATATATATATATATATAATCTAAACTTCACAACCATTCACATTACAAAGGTTAAAGATAGAAAGAGCTGTGAAAGGTAGATTTAATGTAGTCTATTTTTTTAAAAAAATTACTTTTTGTGATAGCTTCATCATTAACTAAGGATAATTTTGTAAATATTACTACAAGACAATGGGTACTTTTGTCATCTCCATAAAGGGTAAAATTGAATTTTTTACTAAAAAACAAGGGCACTCTACAAATAAAATTCCAAGATACTAACTTTCAAAATTTCATTGTACTTTTGTAATGCCCTTGCTTAATTTAATAGGTAACTTAATGGTTAAGTCTCTTAACCATTAAGTAAGGGCGAATTTGAAATTTTTACAAAAGTACAATGACATTTTGGAAGTTATTGTCCTGAAAGTTTATTTGTAAAGTGACAATGTCTTTTATTAAAAATTTCAATTTTACCTTTTATAGAGATGACGAACATACCATTTGTCTTGTAGTGATATTTACAAAATTGCCCTTACTTAATGATGAAGATATCACAAAAACAAATAGTTTTTTTTTAAAAAAAATACTACAAAACTAGTAAATCCACTGTTCACAACTCTCTCTATCTTTAAATAAAAATTTCAGTTTTATCTTTTATGGATTGGGTACTTTTAATTCTATGTGTATACTTGGATATGTTTGCTTCTCATGGTTAGGCTATTTGTGATGCTCTCTCTATTATTATTTTTTATGGATTGGGTACTTTTAATTCTATGTGTATACTTGGATATGTTTGCTTCTCATGGTTAGGCTATTTGTGATGCTCTCTCTATTTTTTTTTAAGTAAAAATTTCAATTTTACCTACAGTACTTTTGATTCTATGTGTATACTAGGATATGTTTACTGAATGGTTAGACTATTTGCGATGTTGAGAGGTAGCTGTACTTTAAATTCTATATGTATACTTGGATATATTTGTACTTTAGTATATACGATATTAATGAGTAGGATCAATTGAATGGCTTGTTCACAATCTAGAAAAATAGATGTTATGAAAAAACACTCTTTAATCTTTGCTAGAACATCCACTCATTAATCTTTGCTAGAAACATCCAAATCATATGAAAAAAAACTACATAGCATATTACAATTTTTAATTTTAAAAGTTTTTCTTTTCTATATATACCCTGAGTTGCATACACAACTCGGTGTTACTCGGCCTTCCAACTATCAATTTTGGAAGATATTCATACCAGAACAACTTATTCATAGCCCTGTCAATGTCTGTGAATGTAAAACTCCCAAACCCATCAAATCTTTGGGATGAAACTCCCTTTTAAATAAAGACTTCCATTTTTGGGTTATTCAAGGGCTGCTTGATGCAACACTAGATACTAACAAATTTAACCACCTTCAAAAAGCCCTAGAATCACAAACCCACCATTAAAATGAATCTAACCATGAAAAGAATGAGACCAATTGCAATAACAACTGTGCTCAATTCACATAATCTTGAAATCTTCATCCTGATCATAAAGCATCCCAGAGCAAATGTCATCGAGTGAGTCGTTACGAGGAAATCCAAATGAACCTCCTTGGACGAATTCGGCTTTCACAGAGCCATTTTCAAATAATGGTATCACAGGATTCAGGTCTCCATTGCTTCCTATCATGGGATTCTGGCTACCTAGGTCTCCACTGCTTCCTATCATAGGATTCTGGCTATACAATAATCCCTTGTTTCCTTCCTCCATCTAAAATCTTTTAGAGTGAAATGATTTCCATTGTTAATTGGAGACCATTCATTGTTACCTGGTGCCCCATTATAGTCTGCTTGGTGGGCCCCATTGGTGTAGATTCTGT